ACACCTCCAGTAGGCCCCCAAATGCCATCCTAGACGGTTCCATAGTACAGCTTCTCTGGACTGCTGTCAAAGAGAGAACTTTCGTATTCAAGTATTAAGTATCCAAGTAAATTTGTAAACACAAGTTGCAGATCTCCAGAGAGCAACCTCCCAGGAAGCCTCCCCTGTTCCAACCACGTCTCAACTTTCTCTCCCTTCTTCTCTAAATTTAAACTGCAAATAGGTTTCTCTCTCTCTCTCTCTCTGCCCCCTTCCCTTGACTGAAGAGGCGTCATTCTCTCTGGGAAAGTGGGGAAGAGATCCCCAAATATGAGAAAACTGCCTCCTGCCGTTAGCAGGCATGGAAGACACATCAGCCTGTCCCTCAGGATGGCTGGCTAACTGTCAGCCAGCATCTGTAACGGTTAACGTTTCCCCATGATTTATTGCAATCTGCAAACAGTGCGAGAGGCTGAGCTGAAAATACACATTTTCAAGAGTGAAGCACAGTAGAGAGTTCTCTCTCAGAAGCCTGGCTGGCTGGGAGGGAGACGTGGGATGGAAAACGTTTAAAATAGCGTCCAGCATGAGAAGTCTTTATAGTCACGTTGGAGAGTCCGTCTTCTGGTTTTCATATGCTACAGATTTATTGTCCTTTGCCAAGTGTGTGTGTGTGTGTGTCCCAGACTGCAGTGGACACCAAAATAGCTTTCAGCTGGTTTTAATAATAGAGGCCAGGAGGCTGTCAGTGGAGGAAGAAAGAGGTAAAGTAGAAAGCAGCAGATGCTGAACTGCTGGGCTTGATTTAATGCAAACAAGCCTTTCACAATGAAATGAGCCACCAGCATTGTGATTTTGTGCTGAGGTCTTCTTCCATATACATTCGAGATCACCAGCTGGCTGCTCTTGGCCGGGGTGTCGTCTGCCCCTCAGTTGCCAGAAGCGTGTCTGGGAAGCAGAGAGAGAGTTGGCTTCGGCCATCGTTCGCAGTCAGTTGGGAGATTTGTTTTGTATTTATCTTTTTTTGCCCCCCAGAGGAGATTTTTTTAATTGCATTTTTTAATAGGCTACAAACTACAACGAAAAATTGGGAAGGGGTAACTACATCTAGGGAGAAAGGAAAGAAAACTAAAACTAACTAAAACCCCAAGTATAGGAGATTATAACAATAGGTTATATAAATGTTAATCTTAAATTGCTAGTATTACTTTGAACATAGTCGGTTATGCTAATTTTTTAAAAAAATTTATCCAACAATTTAACCATTTAAGAGAACCCCCAGAGCATCCCACTATAAAACTAATGTTTAAAGACACAATTCAGAGTCCTTCAGCCTTCATTTTGTCTTATCTTTTCTAAGCCTCAATTTATATGTACGCTTGGGGGCAGCTGCCCCCTTATCGGAAAGAGAGTCCTCGTCGGAAGACACCGAGTCCAATTCGCCACTGGATTTGCTGTCATCTTCTTCTTTCTCGACCTTGGCTGGCTCTCTCAGCTGCACTCTCAGGAACTCATGTGCTTTGGAAACAGAGTCAATCTTTTCTTTTTTATCTTGTAGTTTGAAAATGACGCCTTCTGGAATTAACCATCTGTAGACAATGCTGTTTGTTTGAAGAAAAAGGACTAAATCTTTATATTTCTTTCTCTTTTGCCTTATTTCAAATGGAATGTCTTTTAGAATCCTGATGGTGTTGTCTCCGATTTTCAAGGGTGTTCCTGTAGTTGCTTTCAGGATAGAATCCCTCACATGTCGCTTTGAGAATCTGGCCACTATTTCCCCAGGTATTTTATTTTTTTTGATGTACACAGAACAGGACCTATAGACCACATCCATTTCACTTGGAAGATACTCCACTTTCAAATCTGTAACTGGGGCTAATGCTTCACTCAGGAGTTGCTTTAGATTCTCACCTTTTAATTCTCGGACCCCTTGAAACCGTAGGACCAAATTTGCTTTCTCCATTTGCAGCTGTAAAAGTCGTAATTCTTCCGAGACTTGTTTCTTTTCCAGTTTTTGCACCTTTTTCTTGACTTTTTTAGTGGTGGCATCCATTTCCTTCACCTTCTCAGCCGTTTGCTCCGTTATTTTTAAAGTCTCAGTCAGTTGGAGCTGCTGAGTTGCAAGATTCTGGTTTAGATTCGTCAGCTGTTGTTTGATGTTAGTCATCTGGTCCAGCAGAGGGCACAAGGACTCTGCCAACATTTTGGAGAACTCAGTGGTCTCTTCTGGTCGAGGGCTCAAGATCCCGGCTGGTTTCACTTTTACTGGTTTGTCTTTCTCTGCCCTCTTCCCCGCCATCTTTATGGGTTGTTTACTTTTCTGAAAACTTGCTAAAGTCTCTGAAATTCGCCCATATGCTTATCCGCGCTCTGGTAAGTCTCTCAAAACAGATTTCAATGCTTTTTCTTTCGCTCCCCCCTTAGTATTCCGTTGTTTAGTTTGTGCGTATGGGAGGGGTCCCTCCCCTGCTCACTTTTTTCACCGTTCCCAGGGGGTAGCTTTCTTTTAAAATTCTCATTTCGCTTTAACCTGACTCACAGTTCATTGTTGGTCATACAACCTCGCTTGGCACACGTTCAAAACGCTCGATCGCCAACGCTTGTCCCAGTCAGCAGCTCTAGATCCATACGGACACTCAGCAGCAGGACCGTCGGGGCGGAGGAGAGCCTCAATTCCCCAGCATCGCACCGGCGAAGAGGCCACCCCTCAAAAGCCCCATGGCTTGGAGCCTTTTGCCAAGGCTCTGGGGGGGGGGTAGTGACCTATCGCCCCCCCTTCTGCTGGTGCACAAATCACATCCCTGGGAGGTCCGGGAGATGCGTCCGCCAGTGTGTCGCCATAAACTGGAAGTTTTTCATATTTATCTTATTTTTATTTGCCTTGTTGATAGGCCGCCTTTCTCCCTGGGTCTCAAGGCGGATTAAACAGAGATGAGAAGCAGCAGGGCGGGGCGTTCGATCAACGATGCAATAAGATTAGTGAAATGTACTGATTTTGAGAGACATAGACGAGTGATTTCAGCTCATGATTTATTCGAAAGTAGAAACTGAGACAAGAAAGCGGGGCCCGGGGGCCTGCTTATATGTCAGTTCCAAACCATACCCAACACCCGTGATTGGTCTATTTACAGTGCCCACATAACCATAGGTCCATACTAGGATCCAGTTCGGCCGATAGGTCTGTTCTAGGATCCTCAGCGTCCATTGTTCTAGATAGCGAAGCTCCGTGTGTTGGGACCCCCAGGAGGCATTTCTCTTTCTTCACCTTTAGGCCGGCCTCGTTGAAGCACTGGAGCATGATCCACAGCCATTCCGTGAAGGTCTCAATCAATGCTCCCTCTAAGCTGTGGAGTCTTGTGAGCAAAAATTCTATTTTGTGAGCTACTGGCATTAAAGCTGTGAGTGAGTGATTTGGCTACGGCATAGATTAGTTTGCTCTGGAGCCGTCCCTTCCTGAGCGAAGACAAAAACGTGTGAGCCGGAGGCTAAAAAACTGTGAGCTAGCTCACACTAACTCAGCTTAGAGGGAACACTGGTCTCAATGTCGGGTGCCACTATCAAAACGTCATTAAAAAACCGGATGGACTCCGGGGATTCCTTTAAGGAGACAGTTCATTAATTTCTGGAAGATCCCCGGGGCCACACTCACCCCGAACTGCAGCTGCCACACCTTGAACGTCCCCCTGTGGGTCACAATGGTCTGGGCTTTGGCAGTGGCGTCATCTACCAGCAATTGCTGGTAGGCTTGGGCCAAGTCCAGTTCACTGAAAACCTTGGCGCCCACCAGGGAAGCGAGGACGTGGCTCATGACGGGGACTGGATATGCATGATCGTGTAGTGCTTTATTGATCGTGCATTTATAGTCCGCACATATCCGGATATCCCCATTGTGCTTGACTGGGGTCAGGATAGGGGTTTCCCAAAGGGCATGTGGGACAGGTTCAAGTGTATTTATTTATTTATTTTATTTATATCTTTGATTTCTACCCTGCTCCAACCCCGAAGGGTCTCTGAGCAGCTTACAAGTTCCAAATTTATCCCTAGCTAAGGCCACATGTCTACAGGGGTTGGGGTTGCCTACCGGCACCCAGGTGGCAAGGCTCGCTGTTTTTCTTGGTTGTTCTTCCCGGGCAGTCTTTCGGGTGTCAGTGCCCGTTTCCTGGTGTGGTCGTCTGGTCCGGCGGCTTCCTCTTTCTTTCGGCGGGCCCGTCTGGTATGTGGGTCGTATCGACTTACAGCCCAGCTAACGTCCGTACGGCTCCGCTGTGCTTGCGTCACATCACCACGTCCTTCTGTGGCTCCGCTTCTGTCTCCACCTCCATCGCTCCGCTTGCCTTCCCTCTGCTGCTCCGACGCTACGCCACTCCATCGCCGTCATTTCCACCGTCATTGCCACCGCTGCTGTCGCTTCTACTGCTCCTGCCACACACCCCCGTACGGGGAGGGTGCCCCCTGCCACCTAAGGGCAGGTACCCATTCATCTCCTCGCTTATATTAATTGCTTTTGAACCGCTGGGTGGGCGGGAGCTGGGACTAGGGCCAGGAGCTCACCCTGGCCGCGGTGGGTCTCGAACAGCTGTAGCAGCTGTTCACTGATGTTACCAGCAGGCGTTTTACCGCCTGCACCACCAGGTGATCCAACTCGGCATCGGTTTTTGGACGTAGGGCCAATGGGGCACACCTGGGCGTCATGCGGACGGGCCTTACTGCGGATCCCACCTAGCCGTCATGCGGATCCCCCGCCCCCACCTGGAGACTGGCATCCCTAATGTCTCTTAAGAGTAGGTTAACAACTTTGCAAAATGTGATTCCTCTTGAAATGTATGCCTAACCCTAACCCTAACCCTATCATAGAGCCAGGATTGACTGCAGCTCTATCCAATGAAAGTGAGGGACCCGGCTTTGCTCTGGTTTAATGTGTGGAATGGCATTGAAGGGTCTGGATCTTACGGAATGAGCTTTGTCTCCGATTTCACCTTTCATAACTTGTAGTTCTTTCCTCTTCTTTTTCCCCACTTTAGAAACTACCTCTTCAGATTACATCTTGAGGATCTTTCTCTGATTCAGGTAAGTCAATAGTGTTAAGCAAATAAAAATGGGTATTTTAAAAAAAATAAAAATAAAATGTATTAAATGTCATGGAAAAATACATGTATCGTAATGGGGAAAAAAACAGGCAACGGAAAGAAGTAATAACACATACGTGGCGATAGGAAGGTAAGTAACACATTCATACTGTTAAGGGCTGTTACGTATGTGCATACATGCCTGAGCTTCGTCAGTTCAGCCATCTAAGGCTGGTATTGTGAAATGCATATTCTGATTGGCTACTCTGCACAGTAGACCAATCAGAGCCCAGGAACAGTTTTGGAGGGAACTGAGTTCATTGGTCCTTATGTTAATGTTATGATCGGTTCTTAACTCACCAGGGGGCGTGGTTATCCAAGCCCAGAGAGTTTAAAAGAGAGCCTGTTGCTCTCCTGTTGTGTGTTCGTTCCTGTCATGTTCTAATAAAGCTGAATCACTTGTTTAAGAGCTGCCTGAAGTCTCATGTCTAACAAGGGTGTTAAGCCAAATCATAACCCCCCTCAAGAGACAATTAACAACCAAACGCTCAGAAATGAATCCAGTCCCGATCGTGTACATTAGATGGAGTAATCTCATTCCCAGCTAGATATTGCAATATCAGGAGCCAGGTCATTACAAAGGTGCTGTCTGTATCATCAGTGACATTTCCCATCACAAATTGTGTCCATAGTTTATCGAACCGAACTTCTATAGTTGGTGCATCATTGGCTTTCCCTTCGGAATCAATGGCTAGCCTTGCCGCCGCCAGTAGGGTAGAAATCATAGCCTTCTTACCAATGTTCCCTCTAAGCTATTGAGACCTGTGAGCAAAACTTCTACTTTGTGAGCCACTGGCCTTAAATTTTTGAGGAAGCAATTTGGCTACTGCATAAATTAGTTTGCTCTGGAGCCCTCCTTCCTGAGCTAAGACAAAAAGGTGTGAGCTGGAGGCCAGAAAACTGTGAGCTAGCTCACACTAACTCAGCTTAGAGGGAACACTGCTTCTTACCCTTTCTCGGTGTGCAGTCGGACCACAGTTCTAGTAGGACTAGATCTAAGGTAGGAGAGATCACCTGACCTACCATTCTACCGATCCTAGCTAAAATGTCTTGCCAAAATCCCCGGATGACCGGGCAATCCTGCCAGCAATGTCGGAATGTGCCAACTCGGCCACGTCCAAAAATGGGTATTTATTAAGGAAAACGTTTTTAGAAATCTCAGGATGGCAGCTGACGTTGTCGGCTTTTTGCTATACCTCTGTGATCTCTCACTACTCTCAAATCCGCTTCTTAGCTCTAATTTTATTGCCTTGTTCCAAGCTACAGCTGTTCAGGAACAATGCAAGGGGATATCCTCCTTCTCTGTGGTAATGGCTTCCACCCAGTGAGTGCGAGGTCTCTCGCATCTTCTTCCCCTTTTGTCAGGGAGTTGCTGACATGCAGGTTTTCTGTGGCATGGGGAGGCAAGGCTTCTCAGCCTGGCAGATTACTAGGCAGAAACTACTCACTGCCTGAGGCCAGTGCCCAGGGCCATTTCAAGTGGCCCCTGTGTCTCCCAGCCCTGCACAACTTGTGAGTCACCAACGCAAATGCTGATCTATAATGTTCCCTGCAGGCCCTAAGTAGCCAAATGCTCATGAGACGAGTTCCTTTTTATATTTCCATATTCTTTTTTTTTTTGTATAGTTTATTTAACTTTTCCAAAGAGATTTTCCATTTACATCATATTTTGGAGTTTCATTTCCCATTTTTTTCTAACCAACTGTCTACTTTCTGCCATCTTTTTTTAAACCTCCACCAGGGTGCCGGTAGGCTGCCCTATCCCCTTCCTGAATGTGGCCGTAGCTAGGTTAAAATTGTGAGCTAGGTTAAAAATGTGAACCGCCCAGAGACCCCCGCAAGGGGTTAGGGCGGTATACCAAGTTGAATAATAAATAAATAAATAAACACATTTTCATCCTTTCCTGACAATATCATATTTACTTTGTCCATTTCCTTTATTTCTATAACTTTTGATATTAATTCTTCTCTGCTTGGTATTTTCTCAGATTTCCACCCTTTGGCTATAAGTATTCTAGCCACAGTAAGGATATATAAAATCAAACATTTGTCATTATACTTTATCCCTTCCGGTAACATATTCAACAAAAACATTTCTGGGTTCAACGTAAGTTCTACCCCATTATCTCTACAATTAGTTGCTTTATGGTTTTCCAGAATTTTTCAAGCTTCTCACACCTCCACCACATGTGACTTTTTCATATGTGGATATGATGGAGTTCTGGCTGGCTTCAGAGTTGGCCACGCCCACTACAGCCAAAACCTCTGTGTGTGTGGCTACAGATGGAAGGCCTGGAGAGCGACCCCCCCTGGCGACTCTGAGGTGGGAGGGCCAGGGGGGGCCTGGAAGGATCAGGGAGGAATTTAAATGCCTCCCCATGCCTTCCCTGGCCTGTCCAAGGGCCGGCTTGCCCGGGCTCCCTGCAGCCACGGGGCGCCCAAGCAAGCCAACGGAAGGCATGGGGTGTGACCTAATATGCTAATGAGTTTCTGCTGCTGGGTGTGGCCTATTATGCTAATGAGTTCCTGCTGGGCTTTTTCTACCAAAAAAGCCCTGAGAAAAAGTAAAGATAGGGGAACTAACTCCCCCCCCATGGTAAGAGTGGGCCATGGGCAGTGTTCCCTCTAAGCTGAGTTAGTGTGAGCTAGCTCACAGTTCTTTAGCCTCCAGCTCACACATTTTTGTCTCAGCTCAGGAAGGGTGGCTCCAGAGTAAACCAATTTATGCAGTAGCCAAATTGCTTGCTCAGAACTTGAATGCTGGTAGCTCACAAAGTAGATTTTTTCCTCACAAGACTCCACAGCTTAGAGGGATCATTGGTCATGGGGCAACCCCCCCCTTCTTTTAGGTGGAATTTCTTTGGGTGACTTGGAACCCAGGATAATAACCAGCAGCCAGTGCTGTGGTGAATGTGGGGGAAAGTAGGTTAAAGGGAGATATCGCAGATGTTGTGAGGAAGGAATGGTGAACCAGTAAGATGGGGGGTGGGGGTGGAGAAAAGCTCACGGGTGAGGCACACAGCGCCCCGGGGAGGTACAAAGAGATGGACAGGTAGGTAAGGGGATGGGAAGGGAGGAAGATGAAATGGTTGAGCCAGCAAGAGGGAAAAGCAACAGAGCTAGAACAGAGTGTGTGTGTGTGGGGGGGAGGTGGGGCTGGAACAAGAGGCGGGGAAGTACAGGCTGGGGGGTGGGAAGACTGGGATTTGCCTTTACCTACAGATCGGCACAGGGTCCCATGTTTTTTGAACCAATATCGCTGGCCGTTGAAAAATTTATTTATTTCAGTTATACCTTGCTTTTCTCCAGATGATTTCAGTATTGTGCTCGGATACAAAATGTGGGCACTATTTATTCTCACTTGCATGATTCAGCCTTGGAAATGACTACTTAGGTTACTAGCTCACTTATATCCTTCGTAATATGCTGAATATAAATAGAGGAAAAAGAAGAATAGACTCTAACCCAGCATGCAAAGGTTTCTCTTCCTGATCATCTGGAAGCGATTTCTGCTCTCACAGGTGACTAGGACATTGCTAGTCTGCAATAATGGCCAGTGGCTTGATTTGTTACACATCTTTGCTTTACTGTGCTCATAGTGAATGCTGGCATTCACTTTCCTTGGTGTAGAATTTTGGTAGTTCTCCCACACCCCACTTGAATTAAGTTCATGCATACACAACTCTAATGGGGAAAAAGGAAATCTTTCAAATGCTTACCCAAATGCTTTTGGAAGTCCACATTTCTGAGAAAAGGATAGCCACGGGAGACCTCACTGCCTGCCCAATCTCGCTGATGTGCTGCCAAAAAATGAGAGAATGTATCCAGATTTATACTTTTAAGATGCAAGTCGTAATAGCAGCTTACACCTAACTGGGAGTGATTGACATTTGGAGATCATCTTCTGAAAAAGACCTCTTGTGGTATGCCTAAGAGTGAAGTACATTTCAGAACAGTCAGTTGTCTTTTTGAAACTAAGTTGTTTCACCTAGGAAGACATGCTGAGGAATATATAATACATTGCCTGAAGGCAAGCCATAGTAGGCTTTGGGTGCAATCTACTGGGAAGGTTGCTGCGCAAAAGCAGAATCAGGTTCTTGTGCAACTCCCATTCTTCTCAGTGGGGTTCACACAAGAAAATCTTTGTGGTAGATGGCATTCTCTGGAAGTATGTACATGGATGAGAGAGGGGAAAATGTGAAAGGATAGACTGTTGATATGAACACAGGAGATTGTGTAGTACAGACCTGTACTGAACCTCTGAGGTGTTTTTGTGTCGGTGCCTAGGGTGCTATTTCAGGGTCTCAGAGACTTCTCCGAAAGACTTGGAAAAATCCTGTTTCCTTGCTTGCCTTCCTTAGTATGCATTTAGGGCTGTGGTTCGGATCTAGCTTTTGGAACAAAGTTTCCCAAACACTTCAAATTCTTTGGTATTTTGAGATTCTTACAGATGTTCTGTACAAGAACATGTGTGACATTGTTGTTGTTCAGTCACACAGTCGAATCCGACTCTTCGCGACCCCATGGACCAGCTCCCGCCAGGCCCTCCTGTCTTCCGCCGTCCTCTGAAGTTGGCTCAATTTCATGTTCGTTGCATCTATGACACTGTCTAACCATCTCATCCTTTGCCGTCCCCGTCTTCTTTGACCTTCAGTCTTTCCCAGCATCAGGGCCTTCTTCTCCAGTGAGGGCTCCCTTCTCATTGGGTGGCCAAAGTCTTGGAGCTTCAGTTTCGTTATCTGGACTTCCAGGGAACAGTCAGGGTTGATTTCTTTTAGGATGGACTGATTTGATCTTCTTGCAGTCCAAGGGACTCTCAAGAGTCTTCTCCAGCACCATAGTTCAAAAGAATCTATTCTTCGGCGCTCGGCCTTCCTTATAGTCCAACTCTCGCAGCCATACATGACTACTGGGAATACCATTGCTTTGACCATGTGGACT